CCAGGTACGCCCGTGCCGCGTTCCTGCCCTGGACCGTCAGGAGGTCGAACGCTGGCGCTGTGATGGGCTGGTGGGCGTCCCATCCCATGTTTGCCGCCAGGATCGTGAATTGGCAAGCCCATGCGAAGATTTCCACGATCCTCCAGGGCCCCGGTCGCCGCCGGGCCTCCCGCCGAAGAGGTAGTACACGTTCCTCCTGGTAGTGCTTGAAGGCGTCCTGCTCCTGCCGATCAGCCCGAAGCTTCCTGTTCGCAATTTCCTCGATCATCAAAACCTCCAGCTCCTTCAGGTTGCTCCGGACGTGCCTGCAAGCACCTTTCGTCATGATAGCCTCGTTGTCCGCGTTCTCCATGAAAACCTCCTCGTCGCTCGATGCCGTCTCCGCGGACTCCGGGTCGCTGGTATGATAGTGGGATGTACTCAGCTCTGAATCGCCCGCGTCCTTGCCATCGTTGCTGTCAGAATCGTGCGTGCCGTCCTCCTCGGCGGTCTCAGCGACGCTGCTCTCATCCTTCTCCTCGTGGCTCGCAGTTCCGCTGAACATCTCGTCGGCGAGCTCGTCCTGCCCCTCTGACTGTCCGACGGGGAAGGCACTCGCGACCGGTGCCGGGAAATCCAGCAGTGACACGCACGGATGCCCGGACGCAGCCGGGACCAACGGCTTGGTCACGCCGTTCGCCGTAAAGGTACCGCTCCTGAAGCTGATTGCTGCGTCCCACTCTGCCATCTCATCAGGGCCGATGAGACCTGGCACCTCGGCATCGACCTCGGAGATCACAACCTCGCACTGCGTGCCATTGATGCCAACTGAGTAGCACCACGCACGCTCTGACATGAGCGGCACGCCTGGGCCGAACTTGAAGTACTCGCGCTGGTTGATGCCGTGGTACGGCACGCCCATGGCATCCAAAGTCTTCTGCAACTCGACGTGCCACGGACGTCCACCGACAGCCCGCTTGCAGCCCGTATCAATCATAACCAGCCCCGCGGGCAAGACAACAAGCATGACGGACTGCCCATCTACTTCGCGGGGGCACTCCTCTCGGGTAGTGACCATGTGGGCTGCAGATCCCCCTTTTGCTGCCCAAGGGTCCGCGCCCTTTGCTGCCCAAAGGTCCGCGCCCTTTGCTGCCCCGGGGTCCGCGCGCTGCAGTGAGTCCTCCTCGTCCGCCTTGGGCTTCTCCAGCGTGTAATGGATCACCGACTTCAACGAACACTTCTTGCACTTCGCGAAGATCACGGTGCCGTTTGACTGCCACTTCAGCTCGTCAGCCGGATGAAGACACGCAGCCTGCTGCTGCATGAGCTCTGGGTCGAACTTCGCCTTCGGGCCTGGGACCAGCCTCTCGCCGTCGAACTGCGAGTCGTACATGGCTCGGTGCATCTGCTGCTTCTCCAGGTCGCTCTGCGTGGCGCCGGCACTCATGACGTAGCTCCGTCCAGAGGCAGTGACTACGCGCGGGGCTCCAGATGCGGCTGGAGATGCCGTCGCAGCGGCAGGCGCACCTGAGCTCGCGGCTCCTGGAGGCGCTGGAAGATGAGCACGTCGTCGAACTCCCTCCATGTTCTTCCACACGCTTCCGACCCCCTGCTGCTCGGGAGATGTAGGCAGCGAACGCTCTGGCGGAGGTGCCTGCTCACGTCGCCTCTGCAGGCCGTCGTAGACCTCGCCTGGGTTCAACCGGGTATGCATCTCCGACTCCTGCTTCTCTATCAGCGCGAGGCGGTCCAGCAGCTCGGCTTTGTCACGCTGCAAGACCTCCAGTCGTTTCTTCTCCTCGCTCTTCCTCACGTCCTCGGAGGCTCCTGCCATGACCCAGTCCTCGTCCTTCGGAGCGGCGGCGGCGGCTTCCCCAGTCGGTGCGGCGGACGGTAGTCCTGGCGCAGCTCCGTCTGGGATGTCCCCGGAAGGCTCTCCCGGAACATTTGATCCTTTCGTCTTCGATGCCCCCTTCGCCGACGGCGCCGCTGCGGCGTCCACCGCGAATGCTGGATGGGCCTTCGCAGGGCCACTACTTGGAGAGAAATCCGGCTTCTCGCAGCGGCGCGTGTAGAGGTTGAGGCGCACGATGCGGTCGTTCTTCGTGATGAAGTGGATGGTCGCCGGCGGCGTCAGGTAATCCCTAAAGATGTCCTGGCGCGGATGCCAGCTGCAGAAGATCTCGCCCATCTCCTCCGGCGTGAACGGCAGCTCCTTATCCTCGCGCCGCTGATCGTTATCGTCCTCGCTGGCCTCATCCTCCTCGCTGGCCTCATCCTCCTTCTTCACCTCGGCCTCCTTCTTCACTTCCCTGCTGCTTCTCGCCTTCTTCCTCTCTTTCAGATCTTCCTTGCTGCTCCTCGCCTTCTTCTTCTCTTTCTTCTCTTCCTTCTCACCGCGGCCTCCCGGCGCGCTCCGCGACCTCGAACGCGACGAGGCCCCCGCCTCGGGCGGAGGAGGGGCGCGATGCTCACGGAGAACAGCTCCCCGATCGCGGTGGCGGTCGTCACGACGATCTCGACGATGATCGTCGCGGTGCTTGGTGTCGCGGCCTCCGCCTTCACCGCGCCGATCGTCGCGGTGCTTGGTGTCGCGATTTCCGCCCATCACGATCTTAAACGTAGTCGCCGTGATCTCATCGAGATCCACCTCAGCCGCCGTGCAAGGCTTCGACGTGGTTAGCTGCAGCCGCATAAGCCGACCCTGGACGAAGTCGATGGCCTCGAAGCGGCCTTGCTTGCAGAAGATGGGCCCCTTGTTCTCCGCACGCTCCGCGATGTGATGGACCGTCGCAAGGTCAGGAAACTCCAACTCCACGCTGTGCCCCTTTGCGTGCGGGTTGGCCAGGATGCGATGGCAACGCACGCATGCATCCTCGTCCTGCTGATCCTCGCCGCGCCTTGCAAGGGCGCGCGCGCGTTCATCGCTGCCCTGTTCTGGGCCATCGTCGGTCTTCTGGTATAAACGTGGTGCAGGCATGCTCTCGGGTCGAGGGTTCCCGGCAGAACTCCCCGGAGCATCGGCTCGAACCTCTCCCGAATGCCTCCGGGCAGGCGCCGACAGGGGAACGCGGCGCCACGGCGCGCGGCCACGACGCTCTTCGGCACTACCAGCCATGCCAACCCAGTGGATGACCGGCCCACGCACCTGCCTTGGCACCGGCGGCTTCGCAGAGCTCCGCTGGTTGGGCGACGCTGGCTGGCCACTCTTAGGCCCGGTCTTGTTGCGCGGCTCGCGCTCGCCAACTCTTTACCTTGGGGCACTCCGGGTCGCCACGCCAGTGGCCGGACTGATCGCAGTCAGCGCACCGGCTGTTGCCTTTGCGCTGGCCGGTCGTCCTGCGACCCGCCTGGAAGGAGCCGCTGGCGTTGATCTTCTTGGGGTCCCGCTGCCGAGGGGCAACGAATCAGCGCTTCTGACGCTGCACTGCCGTCTTCTGCTTGGCCCTCCACCCGGCCAAGAACGCCTCCTGAAGATCCTCCGGTGCCTCGTACTCCTCGTCGTCAGGCCCGTTGTCCGACGCCAGCTCCTCGTCGACCTCGGCGCCGTCCTCGAAGAAGATCCCCTCGCCCCCTCCGGGGTCTCCGTCGTCCTGGTCGTATGCTTCCCCCTCGTCGTGCTGCGCCTCCTCCAGGTCGCCGTCGTGTTCATCGTAGTCGTCACCGTTCTCCACCTCGTGCACGTGCTGGCCAGGGCGGCCTCGAAGTACGAATGGCCTGCGAGCCAGGGGAGGGTGCGGGAAGCGACCGCCCGAGCTCCCGGAGGGGCGCCCGTGCTCACGCTGCGCCGCCACAAACGGCGAGCGGCGAGGAAGCACCGAGCGCTTCTCGGTGTCGTGCAGCTTCGAGTAGGCTGCCTTCAGCACGACCTCAATGCGCTTCGAGTCGTAGACGCCGCCGCAGTTGAAGAGCACCTGCGCTCGCTCTCTTTGCGACAGCCCAGCACCACGGAGCATCTTGCTCGCTAGCGCGCGATCGCTGATCGCTGAAATGGGATCCTCGAGCTGCAACTCCATGCGCTTCTTCTGCAAGTACGTCGTCCAGTCCATGATGGGCTGCCCTGCCCGACGGTGAGCACGCTCCCACTCCTGATGCGCCTGATCCAGGCGCTCGTGATCCATCTTCTCGAAGGCGTCATCGTAGATAGCATCGATGGTCTCGAGCGTGTCCTCGCGCCGGAGGTCCGACGCGTCAAGTACCTCGATGAGCTCCTTGGCCCGACCTGTCACCTGGCTGTAGATGATCAGGCCCAGCTCTACGTCGGAGAGCTGGTTGAGATTGCGGATGACCTCCACGGCCTTGCGCCACTCTCGGTACTTCTTGGTGCTAGTGCCGACGGCACCGTCGAAGTCCGGGAGCTTCACTTGTGACAGCAGTAGGCGCGCGCGCCTGGGACCGCTGTCGCCACCGCGATCCCGCTGCAAGGCCAGGATCTCCCTCTGGGTCTCGGCCATCACGCGCAGGACCGCGTGCAGGTCCGGAGAACCTGCGCCGGCGGAGGACACCGCCTCCGCGTCCGAGCCGTCCTGGCTGCCGGCCATGGCGGCGCGCGCGGGTGGTCACAGCCACCCGAGCAGAGCACGCAGTGCGTCCGCTGGAGCTTACAAGCTCCGCTACCAATGTCAGTGCAGTTCTTTTTGCTCGGACCGCGCGGCGGTCAAACTGCGGGTGCAGTCCCAGGGCCCTAGGACTAGGGCCAAAACGGCGGCGGGCAGCGTGCACGCCACAAACATGAAAAGTATGCGCATCATGCTCACAAGGCGGCACGGGCGGCAGAGGGGCAGGGGAGTGCCCTCTTCACAAGATGTTCTTCGGTACGTAGTCGTGGTGAAGTGGCCCGGCTAGCACCTGGGAGCCACGCGTCCGCCCCAGTGCCTCCGCCGCCTCCTTCTCCTCCTCCTTCTTCTCCTCCTCCTCCTCCACCTCCTCCTCCCTCCTCCCACCACCTCATCCTCCCCGTTTTCCTCCCCCTTGCCCCCTTCCCCGCCCCCGTCCTCCCGTTCCCTGCCTGGGGGGGGGGCCTTCCAGCCGTTCGCGGCCGCAGCCTGGTACTTCCACTGCTGCAGCGCAGCACGTTCCGCGGGCGCATTGGCGTACACCGCCCGGGAAGCCTCGTCCTCGCCGTCGGCGTCGTCGTCGTTGCAGAGGGTGTCGTCGTCCGTCCTCCTTCCCTCCTCCTCCTCTCCTTTCCTCCTCCTCCTCCTCTCTACTCCTGCTCCTGCTCCTGCTCCTACCCCTGCTCCTGCTCTTCCTCCTCCTCCTCCTCCACCTCCTGCTCTCCCTCTTCCTCCTGCTCCTGCTCCTTCTCCTCAACGTCCTCCTCCTCCTCCTCCTCCTCGTCCTCGTCCTCCTCCTCCTCATTCCAAGTTTTTATCCTCCTCCCTCCCCATTCTTCCTGCTTCGTGTTCGTCCTCCTCTCGCACTCCTCCTCCCAACCCCTTCCTTGCATTCGGATGTTTATGACGATGGGCGCTTTCGACCACCATGCGCCAAGGGTGTGGCCGGCAGAGAACTGAGCCCACCAACAGGGGTAAGGCAATCCAGGGCCGCACCACTTCAAGACCTCCTCCTCGTCGTCCTCCTCCTCCTCCTCGTCCGTCTCTCCGTCACACGCCTCGTCCTCGTCCTCCTCCTCCTCGTCGTCCTCGTCCTCGTCCTCGTCCTCGTACTCCTCCTCCTCCTCCTCCTCCTCCTCGTCCTCCCCTGGAGACATGTGGGTTCAATGAACGTTGCGAGCCAAATGGACGGGGCGTGAAATCTGTGGCTCTTGGCCGATGCTCGCACATCACGGGCATCCTGGCAAGCACGCACTCGCCGACCAGCCATAACTGGGGGAGCTGTGGTCCCTACCCCCCTGGGGGAACCCATCGCATCGACGATCTCTCGAGAGGGGTGTCGAAATCGATGGGTCCCCCAGGGGGGTAAGGACCACAGCTCCCCCAGTTGTGGCTCCCCTGACTCGTGAAGGAAGAGAATGGACGTTCCTTTCCCTGGCACCGAGGTTTTTAACCCCCACGGTTGGGTCTGGCTTCCGAGGGGCCGGAGGGGATTCTTAACGCCCGGGCAGACATTGAATCTAGCGGCGGATCAGGTTTCGCAAGGTGGGCCCGCCATGATCTCACATGTGTGCCCGTGCATGAGTAACCCCCTCCACCACTCAACAGCTTCAGGCGAATCACGGTCTCCCCATCTTTCGTCGTTGGTCCTTGGCGAGACCGAAATAGAGAACGGTGACCCTGAGCCCTCTTGTGTCGCATGGCCGATCGAGAAGGTCCAGCAGGCCTTGGCCCTGGGGCCTCTCCCCTCCTCCCACTCCTCTTCCTCCCTCCTCACCCTCCTCGACCTGAATGAGGGGTGGATAAAAGAGCCCTCCCTGAAGAGGTCATGTAGGGCCCCTCTTGGAGCCAGCAGGGGCCACAAAGGGGCCTGGAAGTGCCCCTGTAGGGCTATTTTCTTCACCCCCGATATAGGCTACCCCCATTATCATCCGCCCGAGAGGCGCTCGAGAGTACTGCATCGTTCCCCAAGCAGGCTTTGCCTACGGGGTCCTGCTCGTAAGAGAAACCTGTGGGCGCGGGGCCCCTCGTCAGAGGCCGCCCTCGTCGGTGCCCGGGGGTCCTCGGAACTGCTCGGCCCCAGCGTTGCCCGGGGCTCCTCGGCGTTACCTGTGGCAGTGCCAAGCAACGCAGAGCACTGCCACGCAATGCCATACGATGCCAGGCAACGACTAGCAGCGCCAAGCAATATGCCAAGCAATACCAAGCAATGCCAGATATGCAAAGCCAATGTCTCTCAATGCAGCGCCAGGCCAAGCAATGCAAAGCCAATGCAAAACAATGCCGAAGGATACGCGAAGCTAACGCCAAACCGTGCGACGAAATGTCAAGAAATGCTGAGCAGTGAATCCGAAGCAATACTTTGCCTTGCATTGCAATGCTCAGCGCTGATTCGAATTGCTTTGGAAGAAGATGGCCCCGAATTGGAGTTCGCGCTGGGTCCTTCCTGCAAAGGCTTATCCTACGGGGTTCATGACGATGCGGGTGATGTGAGGAAGGATGGAGGAGGGGAAAGTCCACTCCTCGAGCCTTCTTTCCTGACCCTGGCAAGTACGGGAGACCCTGGGCGCAAGGGTCCTTCCGCCCCTGCGGTTGCGCTTGTCTGGCACTCGCGGTCCGGTGCCACGGTTCCTCCGTCATCCTGCTCCTCGTCCTCTTCCTCCTACTCCTCCTCCTGCCCCCCTCCTCCTCCTCCTCCTCCTCCTTCTCCTCCTCCTCCTGGTCCTCCATCTCCTCCTCCTCCTCCTGCCCCTCCTCCTCGTAGCCCCGCTCCCAATCCCCCCACTCATTGTCCTCCGTGGCCTCCCTCCGGGAATAAGACCGATCACAACCTCATCGGACCGATCGTAAACCACTTCGGTCTGATTGCAACCACTTGAAACGGACTGATCGCAACCTAAAACAGATTCCTATACAAACCTGTCAGGAGAACACCGGATTGCAACCGATCCAAGAGCTCCTGCTGAGGCCTCTGAAAGGCTTCTCTGAGGCCTCTGCGAAGCCTCTGCGAGGCTTCTGAATGGCCTCTACGAAGCCTGTGCGAGGTTTCTGAGAGGCCTCTGCTCTGCGAGGCCTCTCCCAGGCTTCTGAGAGACCTCTGCGAAGCCTCTGCGAGGCTTCTGCGAGGCTTCTGCGAGGCTTCTGAGAGGCCTCTGCGAAGCCTCTGCGAGGCTTCTGAGAGGCCTCTGCGAAGCCTCTGCGAGGCCTCTGCGAAGCCTCTGCGAGGCTTCTGAGAGGCCTCTGCGAAGCCTCTGCGAGGCCTCTGCGAAGCCTCTGCGAGGCTTCTGAGAGGCTTCTGCGAAGACTCTGAGAGGCCTCTGCGAAGCCTCTGCGAGGCCTCGACGAAGCCTCTGCAAGGCCTCTGCGAGGCTTCTGAGAGGCCTATGCGAAGCCTCTGCGAGGCCTCTGCGAGGCTTCTGAGAGACCTCTGCGAGGCCTCTGAACAAAAAGGCTTCTCTGAGGCCTCTGCAAGGCTTCTCAGGAGCCTCTGACAAAAAGGCTTCTCTGGGGCCTCTGCGAGGTTTCTCTAAGGCTTCTCTGAGGCCTCTGCGAAGCTTCTCTGAAGCCTCTGCGAGGCTTCTGAGAGGCTTCTCTGAAGCCTCTGCAAGGCTTCTGACAAGCTTCTGAGAAGCCTCTGAAAAGCTTCTGAAAAGGCTTGTGAAAAAAAGGCTTCTGAGAGGCCTCTGAATTATGCTAACGGAGTTCCCCACATAAAGATGCTACGGGGTTCCATTGCTTCTTGTCTGCGCTCTGGTGGGGCCTCCCTGGAGGGGTGGGAGGGGCACGAAACCTGATGAATAATATGGTGTGCGAATACCCTGCCCGCTCTGGTGGGGCCTCCCTGGAGGGGTGGGAGGGGCACGAAACCTGATAAATAATATGGTGTACGGATACCCTGCCCGCTCTGGTGGGGCCTCCCTGGAGGGGTGGGAGGGGCACGACACCTGATAAATAACATGGTGTGCGAATACCCTGCCCGCTCTGGTGGGGCCTCCCTGGAGGGCGGGAACGGCACGAAACCTAATAATAAAATATGGCGTGCGAATACCCTGCCCGCTCTGGCGGGGCCTCCCTGGAGTGGCGGGAGGGGCACGAAACCTGATAAATAATATGGTGTGCGAATGCCCTGCCCGCTCTGGTGGGGCCTCCCTGGAGGGGTGGGAGGGGCATGAAACCTGATAAATCATATGGTGTGCGAATACCCTGCCCGCTCTGGCGGGGCCTCCCTGGAATGTTGGGAGGGGCGCGAAACCTGATAAATAAGATGGTGTGCGGATACCCTGTCCGCTCTGGTGGGGCCTCCCTGGAGGGGTGGAGGGGCACGAAACCTGATACATAATATGGTGTGCGAATACCCTGCCCGCTCTGGTGTGGCCTCCCTGGAGGGGTGGGAGGGGCACGAAACCTGATAAATAACATGGTGTGCGAATACCCTGCCCGCTCAGGCGGGGCTTCCCAGAGGGGTGGGAGGGGCACGACACCTGATAAATAACATGGTGTGCGAATACCTTGCTTGCTCAGGCTGGGCCTCCCTGGAATGGCGGGAGAGGCACGAAAACTTATAAATAACATGGTGTGCGAATACCCTGCTCGCTCAGGCTGGGCCTCCCTGGAGGGGTGGGATGGGCAGGATACCTGATAAATAACATGGTGTGCGAACACCCTTCCCGCTCTGGTGGTGCCTCCCTGGAGGGTTGGGAGGGGCACGAAACCTGATAAATAACATGGTGTGCGAATACCCTGCTCGCTCAGGCGGGTCCTCCCTGGAGAGGTGGGAGGGGCACGAAACCTGATAAATAACATGGTGTGCGAATACCCTGCTCGCTCAGGCGGGGCCTCCCTGGAGGGGTGGGAGGGGCACGAAACCTGATAAATAACATGGTGTGCGAATACCTTGCTCGCTCAGGCTGGGCCTCCCTGGAGGGGTGGGAGGGCACGAAACCTGATAAATAACATGGTGTGCGAATACCCTGCTCGCTCAGGCGGGGCCTCCCTGGAGGGGTGGGAGGGGCACGAAACCTGATAAATAACATGGTGTGCGAATACCCTGCTCGCTCAGGCGGGGCCTCCCTGGAGGGGTGGGAGGGGCACGAAACCTGATAAATAACATGGTGTGCGAATACCCTGCCCGCTCTGGTGGGGCCTCAGGGGTGGGAGGGGCACGAAACCTGATAAATAACGAATAGGCGGGGCGGAGGGGTGGGAGGGGCACGAAACCTGATAATAACATGGTGTGCGAATACCCTGCTCGCTCAGGCGGGGCCTCCCTGGAGAGGTGGGAGGGGCACGAAACCTGGTGTGCGAGAGGCGGGGCCTCCCTGGAGGGGTGGGAGGGGCACGAAACCTGATAAATAACATGGTGTGCGAATACCCTGCTCGCTCAGGCGGGGCCCCCTGGAGGGGTGGGAGGGGCACGAAACCTGATAAATAACATGGTGTGCGAATACCCTGCCCGCTCAGGCGGGTCCTCCCTGGAGGGGTGGGAGGGGCACGAAACCTGATAAATAACATGGTGTGCGAATACCCTGCTCGCTCAGGCGGGGCCTCCCTGGAGGGGTGGGAGGGGCACGAGATAAATAACATGAAATACCCTGCTCGCTCAGGCGGGGCCTCCCTGGAGGGGTGGGAGGGGCACGAAACCTGATAAATAACATGGTGTGCGAATACCCTGCTCGCTCAGGCGGGGCCTCCCTGGAGGGGTGGGAGGGGCACGAAACCTGATAAATAACATGGTGTGCGAATACCCTGCTCGCTCAGGCGGGGCCTCCCTGGAGGGGTGGGAGGGGCACGAAACCTGATAAATAACATGGTGTGAGGAAAGGCATGGTATGGTATGGGATGGTGGATGCATGGTATGGTATGGTAAGGTATGGTATGGAGTGGCATGGTATTGGTATGGTATGATACAGTATGGGATGGTGGAGGAAGCGGGAGGAGGAGGAGGAGGAGGAGGAGGAGGAGGAGGAGGAGGAGGAGGAGGAGGAGAGGATGTTCTGGAAAAACAAGAACCCCACTCAGGATGTGGGAAAAAAAGGCTTTTCTCAGGCTTCTGAGAGGCTTCTTTGAGGCTTCTCTGAGGCCTCTGCGAGGCTTCTCTGAGGCTTCTGACAGGCCTCTGGAATGCTTCTTTGAAGCTTCTGAGAGGCCACTGAAAAAAGGCTTCTCTGACGCCTCTGCGAGGCTTCTCTGAGGCTTCTCTGAGGCCTCTGCGAGGCTTCTCTGAGGCTTCTGAAAGGCGTTTGAAAAAGGCTTCTCTGAGGCCTCTGCGAGGCTTCTCAAAGGCTTCTGCGAGGCTTCTGAAAGGCTTGTGAAACAATGCTTCTGCGAGGCTTATGTGAGGCTTCTGGAAGGCTCCTGCGAGGCTACTCAAAGGCTTCTGCGGAACGTCTGAAGAGGCCTCTGAAACGATTTCCTGAGGCTTCTGCGAGGCTTCTGTGAGGCTTCTCTGAGGCCTCTGCGAGGCTTCTCTGAGGCTTCTGAGAGGCCTCTGGAAGACTTCTTTGCGGCTTCTGAGAGGCCACTGAAAGGCTTCTCTGACGCCTCTGCGAGGCTTCTCTGAGGCTTCTCTGAGGCCTCTGCGAGGCTTCTCTGAGGCTTCTGAAAGGCCTCCGAGAAGCTTCTCTGAGGCTTCTGAAAGGCCTCTGAATTACGCTACCGAGGAACCCCACATACTTAACTTAAATCTTGTGTGTTTGCTTAAGTTTATAATATGTGCACAATTCTGCGTTCTCAGCCCTCGTCGCGAATGTTCCCCTATGTGTCATCCAACGCCATATTGCTTGAACCTCCTCCCTCTTCCTAGCCTTCTATCCTCCGTCGAGAACAGATTCGAGCCAGCCAGCGGCCGCGGTGAGGGACCACCCCCTGCGCACCCTCGATGGTGTCGAGAAAATGCCACGCCTGCTATGCCCTGGACGACCGTCGTGCGTAGCGGCCGCGGTGAGGGACCACCCCCCTGCGCAGTCTCTATGGTGTCGAGAAAATGCCGCGCCTGCTATGCCCTGGACGACCGTCGTGCATAGCAGCCGCGGTGAGGGACCACCCCCTGCGCACCCTCTATGACGTCGAGAAAGTGCCACGCCTGCTATTCCCTGGGCGACCGTCGTGCATAGCGGCCGCGCTGAGGGACCACCCTCTGCGCACCTCCTGTGGTGCCGAGAAAATGCCACTCCTGACACGATCTGCGAGCGTGTCACGGATAGAGGCCGCGCTGAGGGACCACCCTCTGCGCACCCCCTGTGGTGTCGAGAAAGTGCCACTCCTGCCAAGATCTGCGAGCGTGTCACGGATAGAGGCCGCGCTGAGGGACCACCCTCTGCGCACCCCCTGTGGTGTCGAGCAAGTGCCACTCCTGCCACGATCTGCGAGCGTGTCACGGATAGAGGCCGCGCTGAGGGACCACCACCCTCTGCGCACCCCCTGTGGTGTCGAGAAAGTGCCACTCCTGCCACGATCTGCGAGCGTGTCACGGATAGAGGCCGCGCTGAGGGACACCACCCTCTGCGCACCCCCTGTGGCGTCGAGAAAGTGCCACGCCTGCCACGCCCTGCGAGCGTGTCACGGATAGAGGCCGCGCTGAGAGACCACCCTCTGCGCACCCCCATGTGGTGTCGAGAAACTGCTACTCCTGACACGATCTGCGAGCGTGTCACGGGTAGATGCCGCACTGAGGGACCACCCTCTGCGCACCCTCATGTGGTGTCGAGAATGTGCCGCGCCTGCCACGCCCTGCGAGCGTGTCACGGATAGAGGCCCCGCTGAGGGACCACCCTCTGCGCCCCCCCCAATGGTGTCGAGAAAGTGCCGCGCCTGCCACGCTCTGCGAGCGTGTCACGGATAGAGGCCGCACTGAGGGACCAACCTCTGCGCACCCCCATGTGGTGTCGAGAATGTGCCGCGCCTGCCACGCCCTGCGAGCGTGTCACGGATAGAGGCCCCGCTGAGGGACCACCCTCTGCGCCCCCCCAGTGGTGTCGAGAAAGTGCCGCGCCTGCCACGCCCTGCGAGCGTGTCACGGATAGCGGCCGCGCTCAGGGGCCACCCCCTGCGCACCCCCTGTGGTGTCGAGAAAGTGCCACGCCTGCTGTGCCTGGACGACTGTCGTGCATAGCGGCCGCGGTGAGAGACCACCCCCTGCGCACCCCCTATGGTGTCGAGGAAGTGCCACGCCTGCCACGCCCTGCGAGCGTGTCACGGATAGAGGCCCCGCTGAGGGACCACCCTTTGCGCCCCCCCCAGCGGTGTCGAGAAAGTGCCGCGCCTGCCACGCCCTGCGAGCGTGTCACGGATAGAGGCCCCGCTGAGGGACCACCCTCTGCGCACCCCCTATGGTGTCGAGGAAGTGCCACGCCTGCTCGCCTGCCGCATGGCTTGCCGTGTGTATGTGTATGATGCGTGTGCGGCCATATCGGGACATATCTCACGTGTTGCCCAGTATGTCGTGCAGACGTCTTGGGTGTATGATGCAGTGAACATGCGTCTTGTATGTGCGAATGTGTGCATGCGTGCGGCTGTGTGCGAGTGTGTGGGTGAGGAGGCGGGAGGTGTGTGAGACGCGGGTGCGGCGCGGCAGGGAAGAAAACCAGAACCCCACGACGAAGCGTGGGGAAACAGCTTTTCTGAGGCCTCTGCGAGGCTTCTCTGAGGCTTCCGAGAGGCCCCTGACAGGCTTCTCTGAGGCTTCTGAGAGGCTTGTTAGAGGCTTCTGAGAAGCTTCTCAAAGGCTTCTGCGAGGCTTCTGAGAGGCTTGTGAAAAAAGGCTTCTGCGAGGCTTCTGTGAGTCTTCTGAAAGGCTCCTGCGAGGTTTCTCAAAAGTTTCCCAGAAACGGATCATAGGCCCCTGGTCGCGAAACCTCAGACAGTTTCTCAGACACCTGAGGTTTTCTGCGAAAAAAAGGCTCCTGCGAGGCTCCTGGTCGCATAGGAGTCGTAAACGGATCATTGCGCCCGTTCGAGCTCCAATACATGGGTGCTTAGATGAAATCAAGATCGGCCGTCTGTGATCGGACCGATCGAAACCGCTTTTTCAGATTCCCATTGGTCGGCTTATGAGAACTCATTGAACCAAGAAGCGCTCTTATGATCTCTTCCTTAATCAAAACCCCATTGAAACGACCCACAAGCATCGCAATCACTTCGGACCGATCGCAACTGGTTGCGATCCGACCGAAGTGGTTTACCATCGGTCCGATGTAGTTGCGATCGGTCGTGCTCGCGCCTCCCTCCCTTGCCCCTCCCATTCCCTATCCGCTTGCCCTTCCTCCTCCTCCTCCTGACTCCTCCTCCTCCTCCTCCTTCTCCTCCCCGACCCTCCTCTCCCTCCTGCTGCACTTCTCCCCCCGCCCGCACTCCTCCCGCTCCTGCCACCTCCCCCCTTCACCCCCTTCCTCAACAATGACACAATCGGCGTTCAACTCTCCTCTCTCACCATACGACATATCGAGAGTGGCGGGCCCTCTTCCGCGTATTGTTTCTGCACGCAGGAGGTGGTCCGAGCTGTTCTTCGATCGGCCCTTCCAAGATGGCCCTCCCGCTGCAGCGTGGGCATCATCTTCGGATCGGCGCTTTGCTCCCATCGTTCAGAATGGCACTCTCGCCCCGGCGTGGACCCCATTCTGGAGCCGAGTCCTTCCTCGCCGTGGTCGTCCCCCTCCGTTTCCTTCCTCCACCTTCCCCTGGTCCAGCTCCTGCTGCTGATGCTTTTCGTCCTCGTCCTCCTCCTTCGTCCTCCGCCTTTTCCTCCTGCTTATCGGCCACCTCTTCTTCCAGTGTGCGCAAGTCCCCTCTCCCGATTGAACACAACTCGACGGGATCCTCCATGACACGCGTCGGCGGATAGAAAACAAATCAGAGCTACGGAAAATGGATGGGCGGGAGGGGTAGACTGTCAGATATGGCACGAGCGCATCCAGCTTGTCCAAATTCTCCTCCCCCCGGAGGAGGGGGAGCGGGGAGAGGCTCTCCCCCCTCTCCCTCCTCCTCCCCCTACTCCGCCTCCTCCTCCTCCTCCTCCTCCTCCTCGTCCTCGTCCTCGTCCTCCTCCCTCCTCCTCCTCCTCCTTCTCCTCCTCCTCCTCCTCCTCCTCCGTCCTCTCCTCCGTCTCCTCCTCCGTCTCCTCCTCCCCCTCCGCCTCCTCCTCCTCCTCCTCCTCCTCCTCCTCCTCGTCCTCCCCCTCCTCCTCCTCCTCCTGTTCCTCCTCTTTCTCCTCCTCCGAGCCTCCTCCTCTTTCTCCTCCTCCTCCTCCTCCTCGTCCTAGGACAGGGGACGGCGGCGGCGGCGACAGGCGACGACGGCGGCGGCAGGCGAGCGGTGGCGCGGGGCGTGTCCTCCGCACACACGACCGTCCTAGTCGCCAGGCTGCTCAGCGGGAAGAAGACGCCCGCCAGGAGCGCGCCCCGGCAGTGTGGCACCTGGGCGCCCCCGTGGCATCGCCGGGACTGGGGAGGGAGGAGGCGGAGGAGGAGGAGGAGGAGGAGGAGGAGGGGGAGGAGGAGGAGAAGGAGGAGGAGGAGGAGGAGGAGGAGGAGGAGGAGGAGGGGTGCTGGTTGTGCCGCCGATCGGCCAGAGTCCCAGAGAGGAGGGAGGGGACAAGGAGGAGGAGGAGGAGGAGGGAGGAGAAGGAGGAGGAGGAGGACCAGAGTAAACCCAAGAGTCATCAACGATGTTGGAATTCGCCCTCCCTCCCAGCTCCCTCTTCACAAACCCCTGCGACGGTTCATTTCCATTGGAGGAACTGCCTCGTTTGAAGGCAACCGTTTGAAGATCCTGAAGCATGCCAAAACATGGTTCTCAGGATGTCAACGCCACGGATCAACCTGACTGCTGCGTCTTGACGATCCGGAATCGCGCCAGAAAGCCATTTTGGGACTTCAACACCGCGAATCAACATAACTGTTGCACCCGCATAATCCTGAATCCTTCCGAACACCATTTCTGGTACGCTGATCATAAGAACCCGTGAAACTCTGGCAAATGTTAAACACGAATATGCGCGGCTCTAAGCGAGAACCACATTTTGAAAACGATCCGCCCTCAATCCGTGAAGCTCTTGCAAATGTATACAGAATGGATGCGCGCGGCGCTGAGGCGAGAACCACATTTTGAAAACGACCCGCCCTCAATCCGTGAAGCTCTTGCAAATGTATAAACAAATCAATGCGCGCGGCGCTAAGGCGAGAACCACATTTTGAAAACGACCCGCCCTCAATCCGTGAAACTCCTGCAAATGTAAAAAACGAACGTGCGCGGCGCTGAGGCGAGAGCCACATGTTGAAAACCACCCGCCCTCCGTCCGTGAGGCTGCTGTCGCTTCTGAAACTTCAGCATCCCGAGTGGTGAGGAAGCCTCAGGCGACACGCCTGGCCCGCCCCCCCAAACTGGCCTCGGGGTGCGACAGGGAGAAGTTGCTTATAAGGAGGAGGAATGGAGGAGGAGGAGGAGGAATGGAGGAGGAGGAGGAGGAGGAGGAGGAGGAGGAGGAGGAGGAGGAGGAGGAGGAGGAGGAGGAGGAGGAGGAGTAGGAGTAGGAGGAGGAGGAGGACCCACTTTCTCCTTCGGTCCTCCTCGCCCCCAAAACCGGCCTCGGGGTGCGCTGGCACGAACTCCGACCGAGCGGCCGCTGCGGACGCCCCGAATGCGGCCCCCTCCTCCTCCTCCTCCAGGGGGCGGGGCGCTCCCTCGGCGCCCCGCTTGACCTGACCTGCGCCTCTCCTCAAGAACGGGGGATTGTGGAGTCCCTGTGGATCCAAAGCGCGCGCGCGCGAGGCCTTCGCGCTGAGTTTGCGACTGCTCCTGTGACGAATCTGCTATGTGTCGTCCTCCTCCTCCTCCTCCTCTTCTTCCTCCTCCGCCTCCTCCTCCTCCTCCCTCTCCTCCTCCTCCTCCCTCTCTACTTTTTTTTTCCTGGTGTCCCCCCCCCCAGACAAAAAAAAACATGTTTTTTTTTGTTTTTTGGAGGGGCGGGGGACACCAGGATAAAAAAAAGGAATGCGACGTGGCCACATCTGTCCTCCCCCCTAGAAGGATTCCTATTGAACGCCCCCACAAGAAGGATTCACAGTGAAATCCTCGACAGAAAGGTTCCTATCGAAACCCTCCACTGAATGATTCCTACTGAAATCCTCCACTTGTGGATTCCTACTGAAACCCTCCACTGAATGATTCCTACTGAAATCCTCGAATGGCAATGGCAATGGCAATGGCAATGGTAATGGTAATGACAGTGGTAATGGTAATGCTATTGGTAATGGTAACGGTAATGATAGTGGTGACGGGGTAGCGACTGGCAATGGCAATGACAATGGCAATGGCAACGGTAATGGCAATGGTAGTGGCAATGGCAAAGGGAATGGCAATGACAATGGCAATGGTAATGGCCATGGCAATGGTAATGGTAATGGCAATGGCAATAGCAATGGTAAAGATAATGGTAATGGTAATGGTAATGGGAATGGGATTGGGAATGGGAGTGGGAATGGGAACGGGAATGAAAATGATAGTGGGGGTGGTAGTGGTAATGGCACTGGTAATGGCAATGGTAATGGAAATGGTAGTGGTAATGGTAATGGAAATGGGAATTGTAATGGTAATGGCAGCGGTAGTGGTAATGGTAATGGTAATGGCAAGGGTAATGGTAATGGTAGTGGCTAATGGCAATGGTAATGGTAATGGTAATGGTAATGGTACTGGTAATGGTAACGGTAATGGTAACGGGGTAGCGATTGGCAATGGCAATGGCAATGACAATGACAATGGCAACGGCAATGGTAATGGCAATGGGATTGGCAATGGCAATGGCAATGGCAATGACAATGGCCATGGCAACAGCAACGGGAATTGTAATGGTAATGGTAATGGTAATGGTAATGGTAATGGGAACGGGAATGGGAATGTGAATGGGAACGGGAATGGAAATGTTAGTGGTAGTGGTAACGGAAATGGGAATGATAAGGGTAAGGGTACAGGTAAAGGTAGAGGTAGAGGTAATGGTAATGGAAATGATAATGGTAATGGTATTGGAAATGATAATGTGAATGGAAATGGTACTGGCAATGGTAATGGTAGTGGCTGTTGGCAATGGCAATGGCAATGCTAATGGTAATGGTAATGACAGAGGTAATGGTAATGGTACTGGTAATGGTAACGGTCATGGTAATGGTAACGGGGTAGCGACTGGCAATGGCAATGACAATGACAATGGCAACGGTAATGGTAATGGCAATGGGAATGGCAATAACAATGGTAATGGCCGTGGCAATGGCAATGGTAATGGTAATGTGAATGGGAACGGGAATGTGAATAGGAACGGGAATGGAAATGGTAGTGGTAACGGAAATGGGAATGGTAAGGGTAAAGGTAAAGGCAGATGTACAGGTAATGGTACTGGTAATGGCAATGGTAATGGTAATGGAAATGGAAATGGTATTGGGAATGAGAATCGGAATGGTAATGGTACTGGCAATGGTAATGGTAGTGGCGAATGGCAATGGCAATGGCAATGGTAATGGCAATGGCAATGTCAATGGTAATGGTACTGGGAATGGTCATGGTGACGGTAACGGTAATGGTAATGGCAACGGTAACGGGGTAGCGACTGGCAATGGCAATGCCAATGGCGATGGCAATGGTAATGGCAATGGCAAGGGCAACGGCAATGGCCATGGCAATGGTAATGTTCATGGCCATGGCCATGGTCATGGTCATGGTACTGGGGATGGGAATGGGAATCGTAGTGGTAATTTTCAACGGGAACGGGAATGGAAATGGTAGTGGTAGTGGTAGTGGTAATGATAATGGCAATGGAAATGGAAATGGTAATGGTACTAGTAACGGTCATGGTAATGGCAATGGTGATGGGAATGGGAATTGGAATGGTAATGGCAGCGGTAATGGTAATGGTAATGGTAATGGCAATGGGAATGGCAATGGTGTTGGTAATGCTAATGGTAATGGCAATCGTATTGGTAGTGGCTAATGGTAATGGGAATGGCAATGGTAGTGACAGCGGTAATGGTAATGGTACTGGTAATGGTAACGGGGTGGCGACTGGCAATGGCAATACAATGGCAATGGCAATGGTAACGGTAATGGCAATGGCAATGGCAACGGGAATGGCAATGGCAATGACAATGGCAATTGTACTGGCCATGGTAATGGTAATGGTAATGGTAATGGAAATGGTAATTGTAAGGGTAATGATGAGGAGCAACGTGAAAGATCGTAAACAAATCGTCTGAAACCCACAGTGACTCCACAATCCCCCAGCCTCGAGAACGCCTCCTCCTCCGCCTCTCCTCCTCCTCCACATCCTCCTCCTCCGCCTCCTCCTCCTCCGCCTCCTCCTCCATCTCCTCCTCCTCCGCCTCCTCCTCCTCCTCCTCCTCCCCTGACGGGCACGCCGCACGCCGACCGCACGGAGAAGCTCCCGCGGCGCGCGGCGCACGGAGAGGGGGGGGGGCCGAGGGGAGCCGAGAAGCCGAGGGGGGGCCTCTCGGAAACCCTCGCGCCCTCGAAACAGCCACTGGCCATCGCTCGGACGTCCATTTCCTGTGTTTTGTTCGGTTTCGTGCGTGGTTTTTTCGCGAAATGATCAAGGATGCTCCTCGATGGTCCTCGCCGAAGGAAAACTGCACACGTCCGAGCGATGCCAAGGCCATCTTGCAAGCCTCCGAGCCCTTCTTAGAAGTCGAACAATCCACCCCCGTAATAACCGCCCCGACACGCGAACCCGGTTAGTAAACGCGCCCAAAGAAGGAATCGAACAGGGGCTATTTAAGAAACGCCCATGGCCGTTTAGTAAACGCCAATTGTCCGGTCCGGGTGTTTTTTCCTCCATTGACTTCTGCGAGGCACCATGTCATTCGAAGGCTGCCGCCCCTCTGTACGCGCCGCGTTCAGCTTTGCGAATCGCCCGTGGCCGCCCGCATTCCCGCAAGCGTCTCTGGTCTGGTGCGATCTGCGCAGCCGGCCGCCCGTCCTGACGCGGGGCGCACTTCTCCCATTGAGAGCGTCAAGACACTTTCGGACGCGCGAGTTGTTCGTGGCAAGCGCTGGGCCGCAGCGAAACGAGTGAGGCACAAAGGGGCCCGAGCAATAATTAGGAAGAGCGGCGGCCGCGGGACGTTGAAACATATTTCGATTAACGCGAGTTCGACGCGCCTGCTTTGGCAACTCGCGACCAAACCATCAGGGCGGCAAATACGTGCTCGTCTCCACCCGGGCTGTGGGAATAATCCTGGCAGAGGTCGGTGTAAGCGTGCAGTGCGTGCTGGCGGCGCGAATTCATCTCGCCGTGCTGTTGCCCGCCGATCCACCTCCCCGAGCATCCAGAGACGACGGGGGTGCTCCCCAAGGCCCAAGAAAGCTCGTTGCTGCGAGCGCAAGTCATACGCGCGCTCGCCGGGCAAATCCC